AGGCGGGGAACCTTGGCTTCCTCCATCACTGGAGCAAGCAAGCCTCCTGTTCGCTTCAGCTGCCTGGCTGCCGGACGCCATCTTGGTTGGCAGTTAATTTGCATATCGCCCTGATTAGCCAATGGGAAGTGTGTCGGAGGTACGGTTAATTACCATGTCTGTCTATTATTAGATAGGATGATCTCTAAGATACACCGTTAAGAGGGGAAAAATGACATGTAACTACCTAATGCACGCTACTGTTTCTGGAATAAGAATAGGAGGTTTTATACACAGAGGGCACTTGGTGAAGGACAACCAGACACCAGTAACCCGGCACACAGTGTCTGCTGAGGCAGAGACTGTGCCTTCTGATACCTTCTGATCTGGGTACCATAGGCCTGGACTATCCTTTTTTTAAAAACGAGTTAATTTTCCCAAAGAAACCTGAGACTGAGCTTATTTGACCAAGAACAAGCAGCATATAAATAGTTTTGCAACTCAGATCAAATATTAAAAATAAAACTAAAATAGTAAAAGCCTAGATAGAAATGTGTGTGAACAGAATAGCTGGCTAAATGCGCTAAAGGACTTATTAAATAAAGAAAATACGAGTAATTAGACTTCTAACTCCTCCTACACCTAATCCAGCTCTCTATCAACACAGTTTTGGAAGATGCGCACTGTTCTGCCAGCCCAGGTCAGAGCCCGCTGAGAAGCTCTGGCTTGTAAAGGCAGTCACTGCTCCAGGTGGCCTCGCACACAAACCAAAACATCATGTTAACAACAATTACATGGCCGCTCACCTGCTTCTTCGGATTTAAGGCCTGAATGTTACATGGAAAAGTCAAAATCCTACCTAAAGGTATCCAAAATTAAAAATAAATCACAAGACTTCTAACTTGCTACCTCTCCCAGTTTTAAACATAGTGGGTCCTAACGAACTAAATGTGGATTCAGCAAAACTATTCCTCCCGACTACAACCTGAGAAGCAGTCACATCTTTATTCCTACCTCCCGATCAGTGTGGGTGTGTGGGCACTTGCTGTGGCAGGAAATAGAAGAAGGCCCCATGGCCACCTACCCCCCACTCCCCATCAGCCCTCTATGAACAGTCCTCTTCCGCTCGCTGCCCTTTCACTTCATTGTCTGCCCCTCACCCCACTCACCAAAGCTGCCAACCAACACAACCACTAAGAGGACATGCTCCTAAGGATGCTAATTATTAATTTTAAAAATGAAGTGTTCTGTTATTTTCATTTACTTTCATTACTGCTATTTGTATGATACTTTCCTTTGTTAATGAAAAAAACCTTTGTCGTTAGAAAGTAAAAATATTCTCATATTAACTGCAGAAAACACCCCACCAAAAATTATGGTCATGGGCTGTGGCTGTTAAGAAACAAAACAGTTTAAAGATACCTTTCAGATGAAAAATTCAAGCCAGCAAAAGGGAATTAAATAAGCACCAACGGCCGGAAATATGTCCTAAGTGCCTCTGAACTTAAAATGAGCAAATGGTAAAGGAAACGGCTCATGACCTAAGAAAGCTGACATTATTCCTCAGCCTTTAATTGGCTGTAACATCACTGTCCCTGTCTGTATCGTGTCATAAACACACACATCTATCTGTACAGCTTCCCCAGCAGTGAGGAGAGCTGCCTTAGCCTGTAGACGGCTTTGTTTCTTTCCCCATGTGGCTCCAGGATCACTGTTTCTGAGACCAAGACATGTTTAATACAAAACTCAGGCAAATGCGAGGACACCTTTGCATAAACAGACCTCAGTGCTTTAGCCATGGCACCGAGCCTTGTTCTTCCAGAAAGCTCCGCCAGCAGCCCTCCCGCCCGTTCCAGGACTAAATTTAGCAGCTCTGTTCATCAGAGGCAGCTGCGTGTCAGCGCCAGCCGAGCCCCAGGGCGGCCTGGTAAACACTGAATACAGGTCACGTAGCTCGGCAGCTAACAAACTCTCAGAGCCCGGACTCGGGGGCATTCGGAGCAGTTTTGTCATCAACAATCTAGGATCCCGGGGGCCCCCATGTCGTTTCAGTTGCTAAGCAACCCTGGTGTTAATGTCTTCGAGGAGAAAACCTTACCCGGCATCTGGCCGTTCATCTGGTTCTGCATGTGGGGCGCAGGGGGCCCCCCGCCGACCATCCCATCTGAAGGCATGTTGTGGGCGCGCGGCGGGGGCGGGGCGCCGCTCGGGTTCATGCCGCCCGGGCCCAGAGGCAGATTCTGGGTGGGTGGCTGTGAGAAGACAGGGTAGGAAACGGGAGAAAGTCAGACTCCATACAGTCAAGGTGCATGTGGGATAGCAGTTGCCTATATTATTAATAGGAGCGAAAACAAATGCATTTCAATTTGTTTAAATGCATTTTAGTCATGGGCTTAGTAAAATATTTAATATACTCCCCAAATTTCACAATATCATTAGCATGAATATATCACCTGTCCACCTCAGACCACAAGAACACAATACAAGTATATTTTAGTTCATAAAATCTCAATGATGAAAATAAACATTCGAACATTCTACACAAAAAGAATTTCCATTTATTATGTGTAAGGATCTCTAATGTGTCCATTGCTGTTATTTAAATTGTTTTAAAAATTAAGTATCCTTTCATTATAAATATATTTAGATGTGTTTACTATTAATGATGAATTTTACCTGGAAAAAAAAAACAGTAACCAAAAATTATTAAACAACTAGAAGACCCAAAACGTAAAATACTTTCCGGTGTTCGGAGGGGGAGTGGTTTTGGGGGGAAATGCTTCCAACCGCCCAGGCCGCGCTCAGCACTCAGCCCGCAGGCGGTGCCCCTGCTCCCCGCTCCGAGCATTACCGATGGCCTCCGCGGGGAGAGGCAGCTGCCGCGAAGGACGCCTCTGGCAACCGTCCTAATGAAAGTGTGAAGAAATCACTGCCTGACCTTGAGAGTTCACCAAGGGCGCAGGGAACGCAGAGACCACCTGCCGCCCTCCTGGGGACATTGTGATGGGAAAGCAAATGGTCAGTTTCTCTCCAAACCCCGCTTTGTAAGCAGGGGGACAGGGCGGTACCTTTTCAGGCCGATGGCGGCCTTCCTCCCCTCCTTCTCTGTGCTCCAGGCACAGCGTCTACTCCTGTCACCCGTCACCCACCGCCCCAGCTTCCGACAGCCAGTGAGTGACGGTCTGCACGCCAGACACTTGCACACACCCCACCCCCACCCCCGAACGCTGTTGTGCAGCCCTCACACGGGAGCACCAGCTCTCCACCTTCCGTGACCGTCAGACTCAACACTCACCATCTCAGCCTCTTCACTACCGAATCCAAGTAGAAGGGCGCTTCATTCAGTATTTTCTCTTTAATTCTCATCTTAATTCTTAAAACACTTAATGATCTTGTTCCATTTTTTAAAAAATTACCAAATATCAACTCAGTGTCACATCTTCCTAATTTTGAAGTATCCTTTATCATCCTTCAAATATGGCTGACCTGGACCCTCGCGTGCAAATAAACGTCCTTCCTCCTATTGTCATATCCAATTTCCTATTGAAAATCCATGTTCTCACTCTCAATAGGTATCAGTTTTTCACTTTCCTGTGACAACTCATACAACGTCGGGACTGCAGCTCCCACCATAGTGAGAGAGCTTCTCTCTAGCCCTCCTGCTAACAGAGGTGATCCAGACACACTGACCACAAGGCCCACGAGACAGGAGGCCGGGCCTGCAAACAGGGGAGCCAGCTCAGCTGCAGAATCCCCCGGCCCGGCTCTCCCCGCCCGGCTGTGTAGCGGGAAAGTATGGAGCACCCGTGGGAAGGGGCAAGCCCACTGCACTGAGCGGAAAATATCAGTCTCGGGACCAGAGAGCTGGAGACTAAAGAACCAGAGCGGGGTTCAAGAAAACAGCGATTGGGGAGCACGAGGGCTGAGCAGAGGTCTCAGCGTCTGCCCAGGACGAGGGGGGCAGAGACTGCGGCTGAGGCCCCACCGAGGTAGAAGGCCTCCATAAACAACCCGCGCTCTCTCCTGAGACGTCCAAAAAGCCTTCGCCACAGATTAAGGTCAAACGGAAGTAGATCAACCCTAAACATCGTAGAGGGAACCCTCAAAAGGCTCTAGGGGATCCCCTAATGCTTCACCTACCAAAGAAACTTAACTCTCAGAGGAAAATCGCCAACGGAATCCCTACAACTGTCCATTCGTAATGCCTGGCGTTCAATTAAAAATTACAAGGCATACTAACAACAAGACTAAGTGGCCAACGCCGATTAGGATGCCTATAACAATTTAAAAAACTACAGGAAGTAACAAGTATGAGCAACTGCGGAGAAAACGAAACTCTCATAAATGCCATTGGGATTTACCCAGGGACAGAGCGGTGGGAAACCATTTGGCAATTCCTCACAACGTTAAACAGTCACCAAGTGATCTGGCAATTCTACTCCAGGTATAGATCCAAGAGAACTGAAGAGATACATTCACATAAAACTCGTACACAGTGCTATGGCAGCATTATCCATAATGGCCAAAAAGTAGGGGGGAAATAAATGTCCATCCACTGATGATGGACAGCAGCATGTGCTGCACATACCCACAACGGGACAGTGCTCAGTCACAGCACAAACCTCGGAAACACTCTGCCCAGCGGAAGAAGTCGGGCTCCAAGGGCCACACACTGCGCAGCCGCATCGACATGAAATGCCCAGAACAGGGAAAGCCAGAGACAAAACAGGCTGCAGGCTCGATGCTGGGCACGAGCAGCCACTGACAGCCAGCTCCGGTCCGGGCTGACGGAAACACTTCGGAATTTGGGGTAGGGATGACCGTTGCACAGAACTGTGAGTATACCAAAATCCACTGAATTACATACTTTACAGGGTTAAAGTGACAAATTTAATTTGAGTTTTTAAAAAAGTGAGTAAATGGACAACCGTGAGAAATAAAAACTAGAAAAAGACACACTGGCCATCACATGTTGGAGCTACCGGAGAGACTTCAAAATAACCGTGACTGGTATGTCCAAGAAAACAAACACGGGAGATGGAGAATTTCAGCAAAGTCCTAGGATTCTTCAGAGTCCAACAGAAATTCCAGACCTGAAAAGTATCACTGAGATTAAGAACACAGGAGTTTAGTTTGAGCAAAAGTGAGGATTGGTGAACTGAAAACATACATACAGAAGCACACGACATGCCCAGAGAAAGTAGAAAAAACACAAAAAAAGTGTAAGGACACGTAAAAGATGGTGAAAGGGTCTAATATAATGTACATCCAACTGGAGTTACAGAAGCAGAGAAAATGAAGCGTCCATAATGTGTGAAGAATGGTAACGAATTTTCCAAGGCTAACAACACATGAGTCCCTGGCCAACGTGGGGAGCTCCACAAGCTTCAGCGTGATAAAAACAAATCTAAACCATCAGAGCCAAAGCCCTAAACAACCAAAGTCAACGAGAAACCGTAAAAGCAGCCGGGAAATACAACACATTATCTGAGGGTGACAGCAGTACAACTAACAATCCATTTCTATCAGGAACAACAGACACAAAATAATAACGTGACATCTTTAAAGAAAACACACCCACCCACCTAGAGTTCCACCGAGAAAAACCCTCCAAACCCGAAGATGAAATACGAGCTTCAGACAAAAGCTGCGAACCCCCTGCAGCTGCAGGGAGCGCGTCAGCTAAAGGAAGGTGACCCCAGACGGAAGCACAGACGAGAGGAAGCGACAGGAATGCAGGGGTGAGTGTAAGTTAATATGGATTTTCAAAGCAACCGTAGCAATGACCTGTATGGCTTAACCATTCATATAAATATAAAACATATGACAAGACTAACACAAAAAACAGAGTAAATGAAGTTAAACTGTTACAAGTCTTCTGTATTTCTCGAAGTGTGAAATTTGCCCACGTCGGCCACCACCTCTTCGGCTACCACACGGCACAGCTACCGCTGCCACCGCCTCCCGACTGGACCCTCTCCCCTCCACAGTGAATGCTGCGCACGGCAGTCAGGACAGGCATTAACATCTACCAATTCACTCTTCTGCTCAAAATCCTCCAAGGGTTTCCAACTTCAGAGTCAAACCAAAGCCCTCACCAGATTGGAGGGGAAAAGCCTACAAGGTGGAGCCTGTCGCCTGGCCCGGGTCCAGCTGGTTGGAGCATCATCCCGGGCACACACAGGGATGATTGGGTTGTGGGTTGGATTCCTGGACGGGGCACACACAGGAGGCAACCAACAGATGTTTCTCTCTCTCATCGTTTTTCTCTCTCCCTCCCTCTCCCTAAAATCAGTAAAAACATACCCTCGGGTGAGGATTAAAAAAAAAGATAGGGCCTGTCCACACAACTTCCTCACCGTCATGTTCAGTCACAGGAACCTCCATGTTCTCGAACCCCAGGCCCTGGGCCTCAGGACCTTCCCAGCCCGGTTCCTGCTCCAGACACTCCGCCTCCGGGCTCTGACCAAATGCCCATCCTCAGGGAGGCCCGCCTGACCCCCTACTTCCTGCTGCAACGCCATCCCACCTGCAGCACCCCCCCACCACCACCTCCCTGCCCTGCTTCCCTTCTCGGTAGCTCCTACCATCTAACAAGGCACGCGGCGCGGTTACTCTTATGCCCGCCTTGCTTGTTAGGACATAAAACCAAAGGGAGCAGGAATAGTGTCTGGTTTGTTCACTGATGTCTCAAAAAGTACCTATGACTACTGCCTGTCACATAGTAGAAACTTAGTATTTAGTAAATAAATGAAAAAACTCTCAGTTTAAATGATTTGCCATGAAACTAAAAATTATTCTCACAATAAAATTATTTTAAATGCTTCTTTAAAATATAAAATATCACACTGCAAAATACAACTTTCAGTTTAATAATCATTATCTGTATAGCTATCGTTAATCTAGGTGTCATTAATAAAGCTCCCCACAAGGAGGCACCAAAATGACACATAAACTTAAAAAGCATCAAAATAGGAGAGGTATAGATACAATATTTTCAAGTATTTTACACAAATGGAAGCCTGGATTAGTCAACCAAGAACGGCTGCAAAAGCCCATCAGCGTTCCCTCTGCCTCACTTGCCCGTCCAAAGTCGGCCTCCCAAAGATGAGCGCTATGCGTATGTGACGCATTGGGGACCATCTCCCAGACTTCTCCCGCATCCCCACCGAAATGTCAGGGCGCCATGGGTGGCCTTGCATCTACTCAGGCTTTCAACCAGCTCACTTCCTCAGGTCACCGTCTCATCCAC